TCTCTCTCTCTCTCTCTCTCTCTCTCTCTCTGTAGTGCGCTCTCACTCTCTCTCTTCTCTCTCTCTCTCTCTCTCTCTCTCTCTCTCTCTCTCTCTCTCTCTTAGAGGTGGCATGCCACTCTCTCTACCTTTCTCTCTCTCTCTCTTAGAGGTGGCAAGCCACCCTCTCTACCTTTCTCTCTCTCTGTCTCATACTCTATAAGTCTTAGAAGAAAAAGTAAGGGGGGCACACCTCTAGGTGGTTAGTAAGAAAGAGGGTACATCCCACATACTTAAAGAAATAGGAGAGGCCCAACCTAAGCACACATGCTCTTATATTTTGACTAGAGGGTTTAGCCAAGCTTCCCATTTGCTGAGATTCAAGAAAGACCAAGATCTCATGCGTCATTGGTGGAGGAGACCCGGTGTAGAGTGTATAAAATCCATTAGTATGCGTTCTTGTGCTTTTTTTGTTCCTGACCTCTATTGATGTAATTTTGCTTATGTAATGAAGAGTTTTGATAGGTGGCAGCAAGTGAGAATCCAAATCTTGTTTTTACTTATTTATTTGAGTTTTAATTGTAATTCTTTGACATATGTAAGTGTTCTAGCCAGTATTGCAAAAGAAACTTTTAAACTATATATATTGTGCTAGTTCATATCGTCCATTTTCATGGATATGTTGTTTTTTGACTGCCCAACATTATGTCCCATAAAGCATGGCTGATCTTATAGCTGTCCTATAAAACTTCTCTTTCTAGTTTCATTGAAATGCGGCAATCACATAAAACTCCAAAAGCACATCTCCACTTCACCCACATACGACATCTTCCTCAATCTCTCCATTCTCATGGATTATCGACTCCAGATATAGAAATTAATCTCTTTTAGGTATTTCTTGGCCATCTATCCTAACTACTACCTTATTTCTACTCCTATTATTACTAAACTTGAATTCGATATATTCTATCTTACTCTAGATAATTCTAAAACCTTTAGATTCCAGAGCATCCCTACAAATTTCTAACTTTGTATTGACGCCATCTCTAGTCTCACCAATCAAAAACTATGTCATCTGCGAACAACAAAAACCACGGTCCCGAACCCTTCAAACTGATAAACTTACCTTCGACCCTTTTTTTGGGTGTTATATTGCCTCACTTGTGTCTAGGGTCCAAATTATCCATAGTATGGAGGATTCTAGACAATCCCCACCCTTATCACCAGCTATTTAAAAACCCAAAAGTCACCTATAACATCTCGAAAGACCAGTTAAAAATAAAAATTTTATCCTCTAAGGACATGGGAAATTATAAATGTGAAACTATTCTTTGTAAACTCATAAGTGTTTTTTAACCAATGTTTTAAAAATGGTCCGCCCAGCACCTAGGCGCCAGCCTAGGCGGCCTAGACAAAAATACCGCACACCCAGACCCAGGCAGCCCTACACGGGCAGATGTACCTGGGTGGGTGTCTAGGCAAGCCAACCAGGAACCTAGGCAGGCCAGGTGGGCACCCAGGGACGTGGATTTTTTTTTTTAAATACCCAAAAGGGAAAATGGGATAATTTTGAGGTTTAAATAGGTTATAGGGGTTATTTTCAATAACCAAAGTTAAAAGAAAAATTCCATAAACCGTCAATCTCTTAGCTATACCTGTTTCTGAGAATCAAAAGTTTTTTTTGTGGTTTGAAGAACCTTCCTAAACCTTTACACTTATTATGAAATATGGAGAGTTGGAGATTATTACTAATACATATCCTATTAGACTTTTAAATTTTGTATGGTTTGAATTTTGAAATTTTGAACAAATTTAGTCTCAACATGCGATGTCATATTTTTGTACATAAACAAATACGTTACAATATTTTCAAATGAATTCTAAAATTGACACAAATATGTGTATATATACTACATATCTATATAAATTGTACAACAGGGTGCCTAAGGTTTTGGGTGCCCGCCTGGGCGTGGGCATCAGGCTGGCTGCCTAGGGGCCACCTAGCATTTTTTGAAACCTTGTTCTTAACCTTCTTGTAGCTAATTTCCCTTTGACTTCTTCGCCACTCAACTTCCTAGTCAGGCAAAGACCCCAAATCATGTATAAGAACACACAACCATTAAGTTTCGGGACTAAGAAAAGAAAATCAATAAATATGCACAAACAAATACTTCAAAATCAATAAATATGCACAAATAAATTCCTCAAGCAATGAAATTAGGTTTCCAAGGTTAAAAACCATAAATTGTCTAACTTAAACAATAAGAAAAAGTTAAACCACGATAGGATTTCATAAAACCCTAAAACCTTAAACATGAAAACTAAGCTCTTTATTTTTTCTTTAATTGTCTAAATTTTTGTGTTAATCCTGTTCAAAGATGAAATCGAAAGTAATCTAATTGGAAGTTCATTATAACCCATTGCATCAGATGATATTGATACATATTGTTGAAACATGATTATCTGCGAGGACTTCATTCCATAAGAGATATACCATAGTTATATAAATGAAAGATCATTGTAGTGTATTGCATCAAATGATATTGATACATATTGTCACAACATGACTATTTATAAACACTTCACGCCGCAAGAAACCTCATACTTCTTAGGTATCATGTCTAATTCATTCTTATTGTGAATTTATGGAGCAAACTCTACAAGCAACATCATACCAAGGAAACGGATAAACATGAAATAGAAACTAGAGAAGAAAATGCTACCTCAATTTCGTTCATCAGTTTCATGGCTTCAATTATGCAAAGCACTTGTCCTTTCTTAACTTTATCACCAACCTATGATATCACCAATAATTACAAGTCAAGCAAAAAAAGAGTCATGCACACACTTTAAGCAACAAAGAAGAAGATAGAATTATGGCTTACAATCAAAATTCTCTATCGAAGTAAGGAATCACCTTGACAAAAGGCGGTTCACCAGGACCAGGACAACGATAAAGTGTCCCTGCCATTGGGCTCTTTAAAGGTGGATGTGATGACTTTCCAGTTTTTGGAGCAGGTGGGGGAAGGGCAGGACTTGTGGCAGCTGGGGCAGCAGGACCTGCAGGTGCAGGAGCAGGTGGAGAAGCAATTGACATTTGTGAAGGAGCCATCGCATGTGCTAGTGGTGAATTCATCATAACAACAGGAGCAGGAGCTGGTGGTTGAGGTAAGGCTTCCTTTTTTCTTATGGTAAGTTCGCAATCATGCTGTTGCAATTGGAGCTCCACAATGTCTCGTGAATCAACCAGCCTTCACCACAGGTAAAAAAGGATTGCTAGTTATTTCAAGTTAGCGAAGTGCTTCAGAGCCATATAAAAAGTCACATGGCCATTGTGCGCAAAGCCAGATTTTTTTATTAGCAAAAACAAAACAAAAAAAGTGAACTTTCATGGAAGAAATCTATCAGAGCCCCATTTCAATAGAATTTTTATGCAGAGATCCTTACTTGACTAGGCTTGATACTTGGGCCATGAAATCAGATATTCTTTCCTCCGATACAGATGAAGAACGAGTTGGCTGCTTTGCAGGCTCGGGATTTTCTTCGTCTTTGGTTTCCGGCACTTCCAACTTGCTCGCAGATTTTAGATCTGAATTCTGAGCTCCATGAACAATAGCCTTACAATTTGGACAAGCCCTTCGAACAATAGGCCCATAAAAACTTTACACTGAAAATAAATACTTTCAGGATCAACAGAAACTTACATCTTTCAATTGGGCCCTGTGAACCATGCAGCCATTACGATATGGGCCCTGTAAATTGCATTCAATTACAAGAAAATCCAATGCATGAGCTATCCTTACATTTATCAAGTGAAGAACAACATGAATAAATCCCAGTCATACGCCAAAAGCTAAAATTTCTTGAAATTGATCCAAGCTATCAACTTAGTGGAAAAGACATTCAAAAGTCCATCCAATCTATCATATCACAGAAATATTCAAAATTAAAAAAAAATATTCAAAAAAAAAAGGAGAAGAATCGAACATTTTATACAATAAGAAAATGATGGCCAAAATCAACCAAAACTACTCGCTTATTACGAACACATAATCAATCAGAGCAATCAAAACATCACTAAAATTTACAGTTTTTCCGAGCATCACAGCTCATCAGTTTGCTCGATGCACCAACAGATCTACAAAAATTCAAGCAAGTGTAAATTCCTAAACTATATAAACTAAACTAACAATGAACGAACTTTCAAATGTGCACATTCCATGCATAGCAAAGAAGTTCGACTGAACATGCTCAGAAACATAATTTCAAAACCAGAGAACAAATAATATAAACAGTGCAGTTGAATCTGAACTTCTAAATACAGTATAAGAAGAGGAAGAGATAACTCACCCGATAAGAGGCGCCATGGTGCTCCTGGCTCGGTAGGCGAAGAAAAGAGCGCTTGAAATGGCTAGATGAAGAGGAAGAGGGATTCTTGTTGTTGTTTACAGGAGCAGCTGCTGATGCAGAGGGCAGTGAAGACGCCATGGAAGAGAGGGAGGTGAATGGGTAATGAGAGAAAATGAATGAGCAAGAAGGGAGAGAAAATGCGGAGGTTTGGAATGAAGGAGACTGAAATAAATGGTGGTCCAAAAGTTTTAAAATGACATCCCATTTTGAAAATATTTCGGAACTGTACCGTCGCTTCGATGAATGTGAAATGAGGGGTGAAGGAGAGGGGTAGGGGTGAAAACTTGGAAAATGTGGGCATTTTGGTAAACCGAATATGATAGCCAGAAGTCCGTTGCCGTTTGTCCCTACGGGACAATGAGGGGAAGATGTCGCGATGAAACCGAGGAGAGATATTCCTCGAACGGGGCCAAGGTGTTACGGAGTCCGGCCCTAGCCCCGCTCTAGTCGTGGCCCATGCCCGGCCCGGACCTGACAGGGCCAAAGGCCCAGGCGTAGGGCCAAATTAGCCCCTATCTGGGCTGGGCCGGGCTTGGCCTATATTAGACTTATTAAAAAGTTCGGTTCGGTATATTGCTGGGAATTTTATCTCTCCATATTTACGCCTCAAATTCATAGAGAAAATGTGTAACTTCTCTATATATATATTTCTGTATTGTCCCTTCTATTGAGAGATACAATAAATACATTCGAAAATCACCTCTTATCATGGTATCATGAGATCGGGTTTAGAGCATATCTTCGTTATGTTCTTTCTCTGCTCTCCTTCCTCTTCAACCGCCATGATAGAACCCACTCTCCAATTGGGTTCTTCTCATGAATCCCAACCAGGCCCATCTTCTGAGACAGGACTTTCCAATGTTTTTTCTAGAATCTTTGCAGATGCTTATTCATCTTCCCCATATTAGTTCACCATTCGAGTAGTCTTAGGATTGTTCTTGTTTCTAAAGTTCTTACTGACGACAATTATTACAACAGGTCGTATGCTATGTGTATGGCTTTGAATGCCAAAAACAAATTAGATTTCATGGATGGTTCTCTCCCTCGACCTGCCGTGGATTCTTCTATGTTCAACTAATGGGATAGGGCCAATGATATGGTCACGTCTTGGTTACTTAATGTTGTCTCTAGAGACATTTCTGATAGCATCAACAATAGTGTTTCAGCACATGATGTTTGAGTTGAACTGCGAGAGCAATTCTCTCAAATCCAAGCACTAAGAATTTTTTAATTGACTCGTTGCATTACCACTCTGCAACAAGACAATTCTTTAATTCTTACATACTTTAGTAAGCTCAAATCCTACTGGGATGAGCTTTCTTCTATCTCTGCTATTCCACGATGTTCTTGTGGCACCTCCAAATCTACAACTTCTATATTCCTGTGGCGCCTCCAAATCTACAACTTCTTTTGAGCACCAACAACGGTTGATACAACTTCTCATGGGTCTCAGCGACTCGTACAACTCACTTCATAGCCAAATCCTTCTCATGGATCCTCTGCCACGAGTAAACAAAGCTTATAATCCACTGCTGCAGGAGGAAAGGCGGCGCAATTTGCATGTTCAATCAAAAACATTCATTGAGAACTCTGCCATGGCTATTACCCTGTAGATACCCCCCCTCGAAACTCTGGCTACAGGAACTCCTAAAAAACTTGATTCTGAGCCTAAAGGACCACACAAATCCTAATAGACCTTAGACAACCTAGACAATACAATTGCTTCAAAATTGCCCAAACCCTATCCCAACTTGAATTAGAGCCCCAGAGCTTTCCAACAGTCCAAGAATCACCTGAATCAGACTTAGAGATAAAAATATCTAATAAATGACAATTTAGTCACTGTGAGACCCAAGTATCGGGCCGCTGGACTGGCTGTAACGCGATGCGGTAGGCCCAGAAGTGGCCTAATGATGCAGTAAAGGCATTTGATGATGCAGTAAAGACGTGTATGATACAATTAATGCATTTTTATGATGCAATAAAGACATTTTCTTTTATTAGATAGGGATAAAAGTTCAAGATAAATCCAAAAAATTCTGAAAAAATTCCAAACAAATTAAGAAAATCACCAATTGAATCATATAAATGCCCCCTCTCCATAACCCAAAGATAGGAAGAAATCCCTTATAAACTTTTGAAATTAAAAAAATAACTCAAAAATAGGAAAACCCTTAGAAAATTCCTAAAAAATTATCAAAAATCTCAAAAAATCACAGAATTCATATTCAACCTTAGGAGATCCATAAACCCTTAGAAAACTAATGAAAGTCTCCTCCAGTCCCCAAGAAAAGCTTTGGTAGACCCAACCTAAAATTTTCAGCTTTTCCTCATGCCTTAAGAACCTTTAGATCTAGGTCAAAGAACCTTAGGATCTACCAATTCCAGCAAGCAAAGGCATCCGAAAAAGAAGATGGCAGTGCCAATCGGAAGAACGTCCTAATCCAAGCCCAAAACTCCAGGTTTCGGGTTTCTAGAAGTAAGTATCATTTTTTTTGCTTAATTTAGTTTGTTTTTCTTCATTTAATTCTCTGTTTTATTTTATTTTTTTAGGAAATTAAATTATTATTAGATTTGATTAAATTTAGAAATATTTTTAGCCCAAAATACAAATTTGGAGCTAACACTGCCAGTGGACTCAGAAAAAGACCGAATCCATATAGATATGGGATTTTTCTAAGCCCATAATTCAAGTGACCCCACTCTCTCTACCTTCTCAAAGGTAACTCAGTTTTTTTTAAGATTTGAGCAGATCTCTTCTCAGAGATTGACACATATCGGAGCATAAAAGTCGTAGAGACAAGGCACACAGGGGATAAGG